GTCATCTTCCTGTCACACCTATTTCTTTTAAAGTGTAGCTTCAACTTCCGGTAAAAATGAAAGGTGTGGTTCTCCTTGGGCTCAAAGCCACGTCTCTATGGTGAAGCCCCTCTAAAATTTGCCTCGTCAATGAAGACTGGAAAACCAGGTCAACTACAGACTGTAAGGCTATGAAGTATGCCTCAAGATTTTCCCAGTCTCTATGGTACTCTCCGCAAAGCGTTCCATTTCCGCCCATACTTTACATCATTTCCGACTACGCCTATTTTTTTTTAAAAAACCGGTCCACCTGACTCCAGTCGTTTCCTTTGGGGCGGGATAGCTCGGCCAACTAGCCAGTAGAAAAGGAAGGAAACGGCCAAAAAATAAAAAATAAAATCAAAGAGTTGTTAGGGGTAGAGGGGTAGCATTGCCAGGCAACGACTGACTGGGCACTCCTCGAGTATAGGCGGGCGCGTCCTGGTAGTGGAACGGCGCAGTGCATGATGGGAAGTGGCAATGCGAAATGGGGAGACCGCTGTTTGAAAGGCGCAGGGTGTGATGGGAAGTGTCAGAGTTAGTAAAGCCAGGTGGGCTTGTCAGGTAAGGGAAACACCGAGTTTTCTCACGGGTACGGTTTTTGTGCTGTGAAACAGGCAGCAGTCCAAACATGTTTTCCCTCAGCCTGGAGATGCTGAATTTCTACCTGTTGTGATGCAACTATTAAAGTTCCAGGAGCTGTATCAGGATAAATCGGGACAGCAGGTAGGCTTGCCGACTCATGGTTGGGATATCCTGGGAGATTTGGGAGGGGGGAGGCTGAGGGAGGCACCTCAGCAAGGTATAATGCCATCGAGTCCACCTTCCAAAGTAGTCATTTTGTCTGTCATCTGGAAATAAGATGTCACTCCAGAAGATCTCCGTGCCAGGAGGTTGGCAACCCTACCGGCAGGGCACAAAGCAGGGTGGGAACCAAGAGGTGTTGGAATGAGGGGAGAATGTGCAGCAGAGATGCTTCTAACACACAGTCTTTCTGCCTCCAGATCTCTCAGCCCTAGCCGACAACACCCCTCTGTGGCGGCCATGGTGGTGGAGGTGTGCAGCTTCTTTGGAGTCTACCTTCTGTACTGCACCAACCCCCGTTACCATGGCCGAGTTTACGTTGGCTTCACTGTCAATCCTGAACGACGGATAAATCAGCATAACGCTGGGAAGCGTCGTGGAGGGGCTTGGAAGACAAGTGGCCGCGGGCCTTGGTAATTCCTTTGCCTGTCTGCACATTCCACCTTGTGTGTCTTGCTTTGGAGGCCGGCCGTTCTGTGGCATTCTAGTGCATGCTGGGAATTGGACCTCCTGAGCTGTGCATGCTGGGAAATTGATCTGCCCTTCATCTCTCCTTGTAGGGACATGGTGCTGATAATTCATGGCTTCCCCTCTGATGTGGCTGCCCTGCGGGTAAGGTGTTCCTCTGTTTCAGCTCACAGGTGTTGAGCTCCCTTAACAATGGGGTATTCCCCCCCCTGCTAACTTAACACAAACCACAGTGCCAAACTGATTCCCCATCTCGTCACTCTGCTGCAGTTTGAATGGGCTTGGCAGCACCCACATGCCTCCCGCCGTCTCACCCACATCACCC